GTGGACCCCCAAACTCCCCCCCAGCCCTGCCTGGCCTCAACGGAAGCAGGTGCACCCCACCTTCAGGGGGGCCATAGTGTGTGGCTGGGGGTTCTCTAGGGTCCCCCTAACTCAACCTCTCCTCTTCTTCCCCCCAGCTGCGCCTCTTGTTGAAGAGCCGGCGCCCGCTCCCTGGCACTGCCCGCCGTCCCGTCCAGCCCCCCTAGATCCATGGCTGCTGAAGGAAGGGGGCGGGGGGGGGGGAGACTCGTCTGGTGCCGCTCAGTGAAGTGGGGTGGGGGGAGAGGATTTGGCATTTCTCTGGAAAGTTGTCTGTAATATTTTCTGTATTTAACTAACTTATTGTATGGGGGCCCCCTGGACACCTGGGTTCTCAAAGTCCCCTGCTCCCTTGTTGCTTGGACCCCCCCGGGTCCCACAGTAGCAGGTAGCATGGCCACCCGGATGCCTGGGTCTGCTGCTGCCTGCCATGTGGGGCTGCAACACTTGGGGGGCCGAGCCCCTTGCCTTCCCCCTCTTGGGGCTGGGCATGTGACTGCCCCCTACTGGACTGAGCAGGTGAGACCCTGCCCAAGCCCTCCTCCCCCAGTGAGGCTGCATGTGCTCATGCCAATGCAGTGGGTGGCAGCTGAGGGGAAGGCCAAGGGCAGCCCCATTTCTAAACCCCTAGACCCCACTCCCCATCCAGAGCCAGGGATAGAACCCAGGCATCCTGGTTGCAGCAGCCTCCTTCCCACCCCCCCACCCCCCCCCCATGGGGAGGGAGGTTGGTTTGCCCCATTAACCTTTCCTCTGCTGAGCATTGACTCAGCCCAAATCTCTGTCCGGGGATAGCCCCACACCTCTTGTGGTGTATCCCCCCCCATATTGCTGGGGGGGGCAGCAGAGGGTCCTGTGTTAATTTCAGCCCCAGGGATGGCTGGGGGAGCCCCCCTGATTTCTATGAAATCATGTCTTGGTTGGGAATTGAACCCAGGTGTCCGGCCCCACCAAGGGGGGGAGGAGCTACCCCCCCCCCCCTTTAGTCTTATCATTTCTGTGAAATGAACTTTTATGAACCATAGTGGTTCACGTAGAGGGGAGGGAGAGTGAGGCAGAGTGTGGGGCGGACCCACGTGTCCGACCGGCCTTTGACCCACACCCTCCGCACTAACACAGCGCTGTGTCCCCAAACAGCCTTGAGTGACTGACTGTGATAAGGGTAATGGCACGGCGGTGCCCTCTTTGGGCAGTAAGCAGAACTGCTGCCTGTGTTTCATAGTCCCTGTACAGCCGAGGGCTATTGTCCTTGGGAGGCAGCAGGCTGGGTTCCAGCGTTGCTATTATTACCCACCCACACACACACACAGGGGGGTCCCACGTTTGTTCCCTTGTTGGAACATGAGACGTTTCATTGCGAAATAAGGTTTAGTGCTTCTCGCCTGTTCAAACTTCCTTCACAGCATCTGTGTTACTGGAAACCTGTAGGCCAGATACCCTGGTTCAACTTATAGCTGGGCCTAGTGGCCCCACCCCAGTGGTGGCTGCATCTCAGTGTATGTCCCCTGAGCTCTGACTATACAAGGGGGGGAGAGGTAGACTGTAAGCTCCTTGGGGAGCAGGACTGTGTTTGTACAGCCATTGGCACTGTGTGGTCCGGGCCTATGACTGGAGCTCCTGCCAGCTGCCATGATTGAACTAAGATAACGGCTTGTCCGGACCCGGGGGAATCAATAGGTCCCCCCAGCTAAACACCTTCTCTCCCTGCCCCCCCCCCCACTTCCTAGTGACAGCCAGAGCTGTTCTGGCTCTAGCCAGCATAATACTGGGGCTACTGTGCCAGGCTGGGGCTTTAAGGGCCAGTCCTACCTGTCAGGGGAGGGTGCCCCTACACTGCCCTATGCAGCACAGCATCCCCTAGTGCCAGGCTGGGGCATAGAGACCAGCCCTGCCTAGCGGGGGAGGGTGCCCCCATCCAAGACCCCTTTTCACCTGTCCGGGGATAAACATTACAGCTACTCCCCTTAACCCAGCAGCTTCCCTCCCCATGATGACTCCTGTTCCCAGTGCCCCTAGTAGCCCCCAGCTAGCCAGCAGCAACCCCACGGGGGCAGAGATTCTGGCCCCACCCCTGGAGTTAGGGAGCAAACTTTGGTCTGAGGGGTTACATCTCCCACAAACCAGCCTGGGGGGCGCATCTGGGCAGGTGCCTGTTGCTTTGTATTAGGTGTGGGAGGGGGAGCCAGAGTGGGGTGTTGGCACCAGGGGCTCCTGGCCCCCAAAGGGGGCTCCTGACACCTCCAAATAATAAATGGCTATTGACATCCTGCTACCTGGCTTGCAGTCACTGAGAAGGACAGTCGCTGAGTGGAGCTGGGAGGACAGATGGATAATTCCCCCTGCTGAGCCCCTCCCCCTGCACCCCATGGTTTCCCCCATACAACAGTGGCCAGGTCCAGGCAGGGTAGGGTTCAGGAGGTTTATTCTATGGTCAGACAGACAGACACCAGGTCCCCAGCCTAGGCCCCCAGCCTAGGCCCCCTCACACCAGCTCCCCCCTTAGCTCAAAGGGCAGCCCTTCATCTGCCGCAGGGGGTGGTGTGTCTGCCACCTGGTCGTAGATCCTCAGGGGGTCCTTAGAGTCAGCCAGGGACCAGCCCCTCCATGGATAGGTGCCCTGGGAAGAGAGAGAGCCTGTCACCCCAACACCTTGCTGAGCCCGGCAGAGAACGCAGGAGTCCTGTTGGAGCTGGGCGGATGGCCACTCACCACATGGTCCTGGCAGGGTAGCGCCCCTGGGTACAGTGGGGCAGGAGCTCGCAGGTGTAGTGCCCCCAGTTCCTCATAGACCCCAGGCTCCATCACGTCCTCGTATTCATGGGGGACGGAGGGGCCGGGCCAGCGTGCAGGGAACCCAGAGTCTGGAACGGCAAAGGGACCTGTGGAGTGGATCACAGCAAAGGACTACGGAGCCTTTCCCCTCTAGGGGGTGCCGGCTCTGATCCAGCCCCATTGTGGGCTCTCCCTGACTTGGGGGGCAGGGAGCCTGTCCCCTCTAGGGGGAACCAGCTCTGACACCTCACACCCACCTGTGGTGCTGGCGTCTGTCTCCCCCTCGGCTCTCTCGGGGTGGGGGAGCAGCCGGGGTCGATACTCACGGCTGGGCACGTACTCCGGCCAGGTGCCTATTGAACTGCCCTACAGGGGAGCCATAGAGAGACCCTGTCACACGCCACGGGAACACTAGCCCCCAAAAAGAGAACCCAGAGTCCTGGCTCCCCCGTCCCCCACTGTGACTGCCTGACCCTGCTCCCTTTCTGCCAGTGACATGCCCCGTAACCCCCAACCATGGTATCTTTCCCTCCCTGCCAGGCCCGCCCCCCCCCCCCCCTGTCCGCCCCCCCCCCCCCCCCCCACAGTACCCCCTGCTGAGCCCCGGCCCTGGTCTTAGCAGCACAGCGCCCCCTACTGAGCCCCTACCCCTCTCCCCGCAGCACAGCACCCCCTGCTGAGCCCTCCCGCCATGCTCCCCGCAGCACAGCGCCCCCTACTGAGCCCCCACCCGACTCCCCGCAGCGCAGCACCCCCTGCTGAGCCCTCCTGCCATGCTCCCCGCAGCACAGCGCCGCCTACTGAGCCCCCGCCCTGCTCCCTGCAGCACAGCACCCCCTGCTGAGCCCTCCCGCCATGCTCCCCGCAGCACAGCGCCGCCTACTGAGCACCCACCCCACTCCCTGCAGCACAGCACCCCCTGCTGAGCCCTCCCACCATGCTCCCCGCAGCACAGCGCCCCCTACTGAGCCCTCCCGCCATGCTCCCTGCAGCACAGCACCCCCTGCTCAGCCCCAACCTTGCTCCCCACAGCACAGTGCCCCCTGCTGAGGCCCCTCCAGCACAGCACCCCATACTGAGCCCCCACCCCCTGCTGAGTCCCTCGACCTGCCCCCGCAGCACGCCCCACTCCCAGCAGCACGATGCCCCTGCTGAGCCCCACTCCCTCATCCTCTCACCCCAGAGGACGCACTCCTCTCTGAGTAACTGTCCAGGAGTGTCTGCCGTGCCGCTGGATTCACTGCTTCCCCCGAGTTGTAGTCATTCCCAGCACTGGGCTTCCTCCTGAAAGGCAAGGGGTGGGAGCCAGGATGCCTAGGTTCTCTCCCCAGCTCTGGAAGGGGGGAGGGGGGTCTAGTGGTTAGAGTGGGTGTGGGGCAGGGCTGGGAGCCAGGATGCCTAGATCCCCCTCCCCTTCCAGAGCTGGGGAGAGAACCCAGTGGTTGGAGCTGGGAGGGTCGTATGTCTGTGTTAGGGTGTCATAGTGCGACAGGATGCACAGAACTGCCTGCCCCTGACACTCACCTCTCCTTGGTCTCCTCCCGGACACCTGCAGTCAGAACCAGAAAACAGCAAGGATCAGCCCAGGTTGGGCCTCATTGGCCACCATTTGGTGCTGTGAGCTTCCCAGGGGCAGTGCCCCGGTCCAGGGGGGTGGGGAATTACCTGCCCAGGCCTGGCGCCGTCTGAGCAGGCAGACGAGGAGGGCAGCGTTGGAGAGTAGCAGCAGGGCCCCCAGTGCGCTCAGCCCCCCAATGAGGGCCGGGGGCAATGACGGGGCTTCTGGGAAAGCAAAGGAGAGCATCAGAGAGCGGCCAGGAGCCAGCATCCGCCAGAGGGGAAACACCTGGGGTCCCATTCGCCACCCCCTGAGCCAGCCCATCCCCTGCTCTGACCACCAGACCCCACTCCCCTCCCAGAGCTGGGACAGAACCCAGGAGTCTGGGCTCTCCGCCCCCTTCCAGTACCCACCTGTTTTCGGCGCTTCAGGCTCCACAACTGGCAGCTCCTCTAAGGGCAGCTCTGAAATGACATCAGCTCCGTCAGGGTCGAAACCCACAGACACCCCCCCCGCTGAGCCCCCACCTCTGCACAGCACGGCCCCCTCCATCCCAGCACAGCCCCCCCCATTCCAGCACAGGGCCCCCACTACACCCCCTGCCACTGCACGGTGCCCCCTGCTGGGACCCCCACTTCCCTAGCCTGGCACCCCCTGCCCTCCCCAGCACAGCACCCCCTGCTGAGCCCCCCGACCCCCAGCATGGCACCCCCTACCTGCGGTGGTGACGGTGACGCTGGGGCCCTGGGCGCTCTCCCCCAGGGTGTTGTGGGCGCTGACACCAATACTGTAGGGGGTGGCCGGGCTCAGCCCCGTCAGGGTGAACGCGGAGGTCTGGGCGGGGAAGACGTCCATGTACAGGGCACTGGGGGCGCCTGGCCAGCGGTACCTGGGGGACACAGGGGGTAAGGGACCCCAGACCCCGGGGGCCGGGGCCCTGCCTCATCCATCCCCACCCAATGGCCTCCACCCATGCCAGCCCCCCCAGCTCTGAGCCCCCCAGCTCCCACCCATGCCATCCCCCAGCTCTGAGCCCCACTGTCCCTGCCCCCCAGCCCCTTCCTCCTTCCCTCACCCTTGCCAGCCCCCCAGCTTTGAGCCCCAGTCCCCAGCCTCCTCCTCCTCCCCCACCCACACTAGCTTCCCAGCTCTGAACCCCACTGTCCCCACCCTCCAGCCTCCTCCCCCACCCATGCCAGCCCCCCAGCTCTGAGCCCCACTGTTCCCACTCCACAACCCCCTCTTCATCCTCCTACTGCCCATCCAGAGTCCCCTCCAACCCCATCCTTGCCTCCTCCACCCCACACCACTGCTCCCCACCTGATGAGGAATCTCTGGGGCAGCCCCCCATCAAATCCGGGGATCCACTCCAGGGTGGCTGAATTATGGGTGACGCTCACGACCTTTAACCCCGTGGGAGGGTCAGGGGGGCCTGCAGAGGCGGGAGAAAGAGAGAGAGAGATCACCCTGCTCTGCCGGTGCCCCTCATTCCTGACCTGCAGCCTCTGCTAGCCCAGCCCTGGACTCCCCCAACCCCCCCTCAGCCGATGCCCCTCACTCCTGACCCGCAGCCCCCCCAGGCCGTACTGGTGCTGAGTAGCTGGATGTCCAGTTTGTCCGTGCCCAGTGCGTTGCTGGCGCGGCAGGTGAAGGTGGCGTAGTCGTGCATGGCACTGACATTGGCGATGGTCAGGGTGCTGCTGTGCCAGGTGCCCTCGTGCCATGTGCGCTCCGTGTACCTGGGGGGAGGGGGCAGGGTGGAACTGAGGTCAGGTCAGAACCGGGACCAGCCCAGACCCAGGCGCTGAATCAGAACCAGGGACCAGCCCAAACCCAGGCGCTGAATCAGAACCAGGGACCAGTCCAGACCCAGGTGCTGAATCAGAACAGGGACTGGACTAGAACAAGGATTTGATCAGGACAGAGACTGGATGAGAACCAGGAACTGGATCAGAAGCAGGATGGAAGCAGCAAACTCAAGGGGGGCAGAGGTAGGTCAGGGACCCCACTGGTATTCTAAGGAGGAGGGGTTGTGGGGGGGCACTCACCAGGGTTGGGGTCTCAGTGTTTGGGGGTCACTGGTGTGCCCTGTGTCCAGGCAACAAGGGGCACATTAGAATGGGGGTCTGCCTCCGCCAGTCATTTCTGTGACAAAGCAGGAATTTTCTGTGACGTTTTTATGAAGCTGGTGCCTGCCTCAGTTTACCTTTCTGCTTCATGTTGCTCTCCAGGAGGTGCAAAAGGGCTAACACGCTGCTCTTGGAGCAGCATCGGAGCCATGGGGTGTGTGTGTCCCAGAGCTGGCTGGGGTGGGTTAAAGGACTGGCTGGAACCAACCCGGGTCCCCAGAAGCCAGTTATCTTCAAGTGACCCTAGTGGTGAAATCAGGCTGCCCCGGCTGGGACTAGCAATTCTCAACAAAGAATCTTTTTCTCTCCCGGCCTGGCAGATTTTAGTTTTGGTACTTTCGCCAGACAATCGCAATGTTTATTTTAAAGCATTTTTTCCTATTTTTCTCAGCTGACGTTTTCACAGTTGTGGGAAATGATGGGGGGGGGGGGGAATCATGATTTAATGCCAGCAGCCAGTAAGATTCCAAAAGTGAAAGTTTGATTAACTGTGAAAACACAAATCACCAAGGTCACCTGCCAAAATATGTCAAACAACTTGCCGAAAAGCAACCTCTCCCCAGGTCTCAGCCAGCACCGTTCGTAAATTCCCGGGCATATTGCTGCAAAGATCTTGCCCTTGACCGGGGCATAGGCGGTGAAATCGACAGTGATCAGCATTTAGGGATGAAAGTCGGATCCTTCCAGCCTTCTCCTGCCACTGGCAGGCGGCCCTAAATTCCAGCCGCTCAGGAAAGTGATGCTCTGCGGTGGGGGAGTTTTTGTAATGGAGCCAATTGACAGGGTCCCCGGCGAGCTCCGGCTGGCAGAGGACATGGGTCTTGGGTGACCAGATGTCCCAGTATTAGGGGCTTTGTCTTATATATGCAACTATCCCCCCTGCTGCCCCCAAAAAAAGTGTCCCGATTTTTCATGCTTGCTGTCTGGTCACCCTACGTGGGTCCTGGGGTCTGCAGGAGGTGGATGACTGTCCGCCAGATGCCTGGGATAAGGGCCAGCTTTTGGAGCGATGCCCAGCTGTGCCCTGGTGCTGCCAGTGAGATGGAGCTGGAAAAGGACGAAGTTGGGCAGGGGCAGTGCAGGGTTGGCCTGGGTCTCTGACTTTGCTTCTCTATGCCAAGCTCAGGGCTTCCCAATGCCTGTGTGCCGGGGACTAATCAACCCCGTCCAGCTTGACGAAGGACCCAGGGAGTCTCTGCCCATACTGGCGGGTTGCACGGGTCTGTGGGGTTTCATGTCCCCTCCCCTCTTCACACATGCTGGGCCCCCTCCTACCTGGGGTTGTCAGGGTGCAGGGCCGCTCCATTCTTGGCCCAACTGAACTGCACACTGGGGACCCCCTGGGCACGGCACAGCAGGATGGCGGGTGAGCTCCCGTCCCCGGGCATGGCCACCTTCCCCAGCCCCATGCCCTTCTCGATCTCTGGCTTGACTGCAGGGAGAGAGAGAGTGAAGGGCGGTCTGGGAATCGGGGGGGGGAGGGAAGAGTTGGGAGGGCCTTGGAGGGGCAGGGAAGTCCCTGGGGAGGGGGATGTTCTGTGGGGGGGGGGGCAGGCCTCAAGGGGTTCCCCAGGGGAGGGGGTTTGGAGGAGGGAGGGAAGAGATCAGAGGGGATGGGCAAAGGTCACATCAGGGAGTGCTGGGTTCTCATATGTTCTCGGGGAGGGTCCCTGGAGAGGGGGGCACAAGAGGGGCTGGGGGGTCCCCGGGATGGAGAAGCAGTGCATGGGGTGGATCCTCAGGCTGGGGGAGGGGCAGAGGGTGGGGAGATCTCTGAGGTGGGGGACCAGTGAGTCGGAGGCCCTGGGGGGTGGGAGTTTCTGGGGGGTCCCCGGGGTGGGGGAGTCTGCATAGGGCACCCACAGCGCACGATGAGGCGGGCGCTGCCCCGGGCTGGGGGGGGCAGCCCGTTGTCCACGCGGCACTCATAGAGCCCGGCCTGTGCCTGCCGGGCCCCCCGGATCCGCAGCCGCCCCACAGCCCCCGAGGCCTCCGGCTCCAGCTCCAGCTCTTCCAGGCTGCGCTCCTCTGCCCCCTGCGGGAAGGTCAGGGTCAGCGGGCAAAGGCGGGGGGGACAAACCAGGGAGGGCAAAGGTCAGAGGGGTCAAAGGTTACCACAGAGATGACAAAGGTCAAAGAGGGGCAAAGGTCACCCTGATATTTGCATGGCTCAAAGGCCACATTGGGGAGGTCAGCAGTTGGATGGGCAACAGCAAATGTTAAAGGTTAGAGAAAAATGAAAGGTCAGCAGAGGGTCGAAAGTCACAGGTCAGGGAGGGGAAGGTGCAAAGGTCATGGGGGCAAAGGGTAGATCCAGGTAAATGAGGGTCAAAGGTGACAAAAGAAATAAAAAAGGCCGGTGAGGGACAAAGGTCACATAAAACACATCAAGGGTCACAGTTCTGTGCAGAGGTCAAATAGGAGAGGGCAAAGGTCAGAGTGGAGACAAAGTTTTGCCACTGGGGCAAAGGTCACCCACATAACTGCATGGGTCAAAAGCCACCTTGGGGAGGTCAACGGCTAGATGGTGACAGCAAACCTTAAAGTTTGGAGAGAGGGGTCAGAGACGGGAAAGTGCAAAGGTCACAAATCAGAGGGCAAAGGGCAGACTTGTGTACATGAGGGTCAAATGTACATCATAAGCTAAATCAAAAGGTCAGAGGGGGCAAAGGTCACATAAGAGATGTCAAGGGTCAGAGGTCAGACAGGAGATGGCAAACGTCAGATGGGGCGGCCAGGCGGCAAAGGTCACAGGTGGCTTGTGCCCCTTTGAGAGACACCGCCAGAGACGCCCCCCCTTACCAACCACGTCCACTGGAACATGCCCGCAAGGATGGGGTTGGCATTGGCTACGCATACAAGCTCAGCCGTGGCGCCCAGGTCCACATAGACGGGGTCCCCCAGGCTGCGGATGGAGGGGGCATCTGGGGGGCAGAGAGGGCCAGATCAGATGATAAACATTCACATAAAAAAGAATCTAACACATCAGAAAAGGGCAGACAAATAAACAGTGACAAGTTTTTAAAGTGCTTGTACACAAATGCTAGAAGTCTAAATAATAAGATGGGTGAACTAGAGTGCCTTGTGATAAAGGAGGATATTGATATAATAGGCATCACAGAAACCTGGTGGACTGAGAGCAATCAATGGGACACAATCATTCCGGGGTACAAAATATATCGGAAGGACAGAACAAGTCGTGCAGTGGGGGGAGTGGCACTATATGTGAAAGAAAATGTAGAATCAAATGAAGTAAAAATCTTAAGTGAATCCACATGTTCCATAGAATCTCTATGGATAGAAATTTCATGCTCTAATAAGAATATAACAGGGATCTATTATAGACCACCTGACCAGGACAGTGATAGTGATGATGAAATGCTAAGGGAAATTAGACAGGCTATCAAAATTAAGAACCCAATAATAGTGGGGGATTTCAATTATCCCCATATTGAGTGGGAACATTTCACTTCAGGACAAAATGCAGAGATAAAATTTCTCTATACTTTAAATGACTGCTTCAGGGAGCAGCTGGTACGGGAATCCACAAGAGGAGAGGCAACTCTAGATTTAGTCCTGAGCGCAGGAGCTGGTCCAAGAGGTAACTATAACAGGACCGCTTGGAAATAGTGACCATAATACAATAGCATTCAACATCCCTGTGGTGGGAAGAACATCTCAATAGCCCAACACTGTGGCATTTAATTTCAAAAGGGGGAACTATGCAAAAATGAGGGGGTTAGTTAAACAGAAGTTAAAAAGTACAGTGACTAAAGTGAAATCCCTGCATGGGCGCTTTTTAAAGACACCATAATAGAGGCCCAACTTCAATGTATACCCCAAATTAAGAAACACAGTAAAAGATAAAAAGACTTCCTTTAAAAAGTGGAAGTCAAATCCTAGTGAGGCAAATAGAAAGGAGCATAAACGCTGCCAAATTAAGTGCAAGAATGTAATAAGAAAAGCCAAAGAGGAGTTTGAAGAACGGCTAGCCAAAAACTCCAAAGGTAATAACAAAATGTTTTTTAAGTATATCAGAAGCAGGAAGCCTGCTAAACAACCAGTGGAGCCCCTTGATGATCGAGATACAAAAGGAGCGCTTAAAGACAATAAAGTCATTGCGGAGAAACTAAATGGATTCTTTGCTTCAGTCTTCACGGCTGAGGATGTTAGGGAGATTCCCAAACCTGAGCCGGCTTTTGTAGGTGACAAATCTGAGGAACTGTCACAGATTGAAGTGTCACTAGAGGAGGTTTTGGAATTAATTGATAAACTTAACATTAACAAGTCACCGGGACCAGATGGCATTCACCCAAGAGTTCTGAAAGAACTCAAATGTGAAGTTGCGGAACTATTAACTAAGGTTTGTAACCTGTCCTTTAAATCGGCTTCTGTACCCAATGACTGGAAGTTAGCTAATGTAACGCCAATATTTAAAAAGGGCTCTAGAGGTGATCCCGGCAATTACAGACCGGTAAGTCTAACGTCGGTGCCGGGCAAATTAGTCGAAACAATAGTTAAGAATAAAATTGTCAGACACATAGAAAAACATAAACTGTTGAGCAATAGTCAACATGGTTTCTGTAAAGGGAAATCGTGTCTTACTAATCTATTAGAGTTCTTTGAAGGGGTCAACAAACATGTGAACAAGGGGAATCAGTGGACATAGTGTACTTAGATTTCCAGAAAGCCTTTGACAAGGTCCCTCACCAAAGGCTCTTAAGTAAAGTAAGTTGTCATGGGATAAAAGGGAAGGTCCTTTCATGGATTGAGAACTGGTTAAAAGACCGGGAACAAAGGGTAGGAATTAATGGTAAATTCTCAGAATGGAGAGGGGTAACTTGTGGTGTTCCCCAAGGGTCAGTCCTCGGACCAATCCTATTCAACTTATTTATAAATGATCTGGAGAAAGGGGTAAACAGTGAGGTGGCAAAGTTTGCAGATGATACTAAACTG